TTGACCAGGATGGTCTCGATCTCTTGACCTCGTGATCCACCCGCCTCGGCCTCCCAAAGTGCTGGGATTACAGGCGTGAGCCACCGCGCCCGGCTATATATATTTTTTAAATGCCATCTTTGTCCTGGTAATTTAAGGTAACATCTTATATACTATATTTCTGTTTCCACTTGGGTGTATTTCTAGACTTTCTTTATATTTCATTGGTGTGTGCATGCAACAGCGCCCCATAGTTTTTTTGTTTGTTTTTTGAGATGGAGTTTTGCTCTTGTTGGCCAGGATGGAGTGTAGTGGCATGATCTTGGCTCACTGCAGCCTTTGCCTCCCGGGTTCAAGTGATTCTCCTGCATCAGCCTCCCAATTAGCTCTGATTACAAGCATGCACCGCCATGCCTGGCTAATTTTATATTTTCAATGGAAGCGGGGTTTCACCCTGTTGAACAGGCTGTTCTTGAACTCCTGGCCTCAAGTGATCCGCCCACCTCTGCCTCTCAAAGTGCTGGGATTACAGGCATGAGCCACCTTGCCCAGCCAACATAGCTTTAATTATAGAAACTTTCTTGTTGTTTTAATATCTAGTAAGGCTAGAATCCCCCCTCCTTTTTAAAAAATTATTTTCTTAGCTATTTTTGCATGTTTATTTTTCAATTTGAATATATAATTGTGGAGCTTTATTAAAAAGCTCATTGATACTTTTATTGTAATCACATTAAATGTGAAAACTGACAGGTTTATCATGTTGAGACATCCTAATGAAAAACAAGGGACATCTTTCCATTTGTTAAAGTTTGCTTGTATATCTTTCAGAGATTTTTTTTTTTTTTTGGTACAGGTTTTGGAACATTTCCTGTTAAGTTTATTTCTATGTATTTTATCTTTCTGGTTGCTATTGTAAATGGGTTTCTTTCCCCATTATATATTTTCATTGGTTATTATTTCATATACATGAATGCTATTCACTTTTGCATATTAGTTTTATATCCTGGTATATAGCTGAATTCTTTTATTATTTGAGTTACATCATTTGAAAATAGAGATCATCTTGTTTTTTATTATTACCAAAGCATAGATTTCTCCTGTGTATTACATTGGGTACTACCTTCAGAACAATGTTAGCTAGTAGTGAACATTTCCTGGCTTTAGTGGAAATGCCTATAATATTTCTGAACTAAGATGCTGGCTTGGCTTTGGACCAAGATATATTTCATGATGTTAAAGAAGTATCCATACATACTTATTTTCTCAAGACTTTTCATTAGGAATGGTTGTTGATTTTTTTTTTTTTTTTTTGAGATAGAGTCTCACTCTGTCACCCAGGCCGTAGTGCAGTGGTGTGATCTTGGCTCACTGCAACCTCTGTCTCCTTGGTTCAAGCGATTCTCGTACCTCAGCCTCCCAAGTAGCTGGGATTACAGGTGCATACCACCACACCCGGCTAATAGTTGTTGAATGTTGTTGGCAGCTTTTTCAGTATCTATGCCAGCAATAGGTTTCCTGATAGTATATCATCTTTGCATTCGAGTTGTAAGTCCAGCTTTGTCATTTTATACTACTTCGCTTGCTAATATTTTACTACTATATTTGCATTTTTTCTTTTTTTTTGGAGATGGAGTTTCGATCTTGTTGCTCAGGCTGGAGTGCAAGGCATGTTCTTGGCTCACTGCAACCTCCATCTCCCAGGGTTCAAGCAATTCTCCTGCCTCAGCCTCCTGAGTAGCTGGGATTACAGGTGCATGCCACCATGCCTGGCAAATTTTGTATTTTTAATAGAGACAGGGTTTTACCATGTTGGTCAGGCTGGTCTCAAACTCCTGATTTCAGGTGATCCACCCACCTTAGCCTCCCAAAGTGCTGGGATTACAGGTGTGAGCCACCGCGCCCAGCTCTTTTTGCATTCTTTTTTTTTTTTAGATGGAGTCTCTGTCACCCAGACTGGAGTGCAGTGGCATGATCTCTGCTCACTGCAGCCTCCACCTCCTGGGTTCAAGCAATTCTCCCTGCCTTGGCTTCCTGAGTAGGTGGGATTACAGGCACCAGCCACCACACCTGGCTATTTTTTTTTTTTTTTTTTAGTAGAGACGCACTTTTGCCATATTGGCCATGCTGATCTTGAACTCCTGACCTCAGGTGATCTGCCTGCCTTGGCCTCCCAAAGTGCTGCGATTACAGGTGTGAGCCACTGCGCCCAGCCTCTTATTCATGTCTTAATCTATGAAAATGTCTAGGTCTGGTGCTTTCTTATGTGTATTTTTTTTCTCTGTATATAGAAATTAGTCTGTTTCAGCTTTTAATCTGTACTGGGATTGATTTTAGTAAATATATAAGAAATTATTCATTCTCTAGACTTCTAAATTTATTTGCAATAGAGCTGTATAAAATTTCTTTTGTTTTTAACAGCTTTATTTAGGTATAATTTAATTACCATAAATTTCACCCATTCTAAGTATAACAGTTCATAATTTTTAGTAAATTTAGATTATGCAACCATCACCACAATTGGATATTAGAATGTTTCCATTACCCTCAAATTATTCTCTCACACTTGTTTTAAATTAATCTCTGATTCACTCCAAGCCGTCAGTAATTAGTAATCTGTTTTTGTCTCTATAAATTGCCTTTATTCTAGACATTTAATATAAATGAAGCCATGCAAAAAGGTAGTCCTTTATTTCTGGCACCTTCCACTTAATGTTTTTTAGAGTCATCCATGTTGTATGTATCAGTAGTTTATTACTTTTTGTTGAGCAATAGTATTCAATCATTGTATGGATATACCATCTTATGTTTACTTACCAGTAGATGGACATTTAGATTGTTTATAGTTTTTGGCTATTAGAATACCACCACTGGACATTCACGTACTTCTCTTTGTGTGGGCATATATTGTCATTTTCCTTGGTTAGATTCCCAGGAGTAGAATTGTGAGGTAGTACGGTAAATTTAATTTCTTAAGGAACTGGCAAACTTTTTTCAACATAATTGCACCATTTTATTTCCAGCAAAGTGTGAGGGTTCTAGTTTCTCCACATTTTTGCCAACATTTGGTATTATCTATATTTTATATTTTATTTTTTTGAGATGGAGTCTCACTCTGTCACCCAGGCTGGAGTGCACTGGCACAATCTCAGCTCATTGCAACCTCCACCTCCTGGGTTCAAGTGATTGAGTCTCCTGCCTCAGCCTCCTGAGTAGCTGGGATTATAGGCATGCACCACCATGCCCAGGTAATTTTTGTATTTTTAGTAGAGAAGGGGTTTCACCATATTGGCCAGGCTGATCTTGAACTCCTGACCTCAAGTTATCCACCTGCCTCGGCCTCCCAAAGTTCTGGAATGACAGCCATCAGCCACCATGTACAGTATATTTTAATTAATTGTTATTCTAGAGCCTTTTTTCTTAAAAAAAATTTTTTTTTTTGAGACGGAGTTTTGCTCTTGTTGACCAGGCCTGAGTGCAATGGCATAATCTCAGCTCACTGCAACCTCCGCCTCCCAGGTTCAAGTGATTCTCCAGCCTTGCATCCTGAGTAGCTGGGATTACAGGCATGACCCACCATGCCTGGCTAACTTTGTATTTTTCGTAGAGATGGGGTCTCGCCATGTTGGCCAGGCTGGTCTCAAATTCTGACCTCAGGTGACCCACTTGCCCCAGCCTCCCAAAGTGCTGGAATTACAGGCATGAGTCACCAGGGACGGCTATTCTAGTGCTTTTAATTTGTAGCTTCAATTTCCATTTCTTCAGTGACTGATGGTGTTGAGACTCTTTTTATGTGCTATTGGCCGTTCATATATCTTCCTTGCAGACAAATCTATTGCCCATTATTAAATTGGGGTTTAATCTTATTAAGTTGTAAGAGTTTACATATTTTTTGATAAAGTCCTTTATCAGATATATGACTTGTAAGTATTCTGTCCCAGTCTTTTTGTTTTCTCAGTTTTGCCTTTGGAAGCACAAAATTCTTTGTTTTGTAAGTCCAGTTTGTCATTTTTTCTTCTTCCAGCTGATTGCTCTATTGATTTCAGCAGTGCCCTGGAGCATAAATTATTCCATACAATATACCAATCAAATTTGGACTCATTTGAAGAAATAGTTCTCAAGGTCACTGAAATTTGTGGTGACCCCAGCTGGCTTTTTTCCTGGTTCCTTCAGGCAAAGTAGCTGGCCTACAGTTTAGCCTACATGTTTAATGACACTATGAGTCTTCTCCCAGTTGCCTTTTTGCGACAGCCTCCACTGTTTTGAGAGCATCCTTAGGGTTGAACTTCCTACACTCTGTTGCAAATGAAGTCAGTGCCTTTGGAAAGGGATTAGGAACTATCTGTTTTATGGTCGGCTTCTCCCTCACTCTCTGCAAGGAAAATCTCTGAGTCAGAGCTTAAGCTGGGAGTGGGGACAATGGCATGCTACTTTCTGTGTGTCATCCTTGCTATAAGAAATGAGTGCTAGGTAAGGAGAGTGACAGTAACCTTAGGTCTTCTTGGCTTGCCTCTTTCTTCATGAAACCACCACTTTACTAGCAGGGTCAAGTGGTCAGGGGCCCTATATTCTCAGGACACCACACCAAACTCGGACTTCCCAACCCATAAATGGGATCTGGGAAGGCGATGGGAGCCTCTATCATCTATTGACTGCACTCACCTCAGCAACAGGTAACTGGGGACAGGATGTGAAATGCTGGCATCCTGCTCCTCCTAGGATGCTAGCCCTTGATTGATAGCTGGAGGGAGAAGGAGCCCTGTGTTCTGGCTGTACCAACAGGAGTGGAATCTCCATCTTGCTAAGTTGGGAAGTGGGAGGATGGGAGTGGTCCTCAGTTCAAATACCACAAACTCTTGCTGTTTTTCCTAAGTTATAGATTTTCTTAAGTAAATATTTATTCATTTGCTGCACGTCCCTGGGACCAGTTATAGAGACTTTAAATGCTTGTTTCTTTTGAAAAATAACTTTCACCAATTATGCTGGGGTGCAGGTCCATGAAGCCCCTCCCTTTCACTTTTATTGATAAAAGTGTTTATGATTTTTCCTTTGTTTATGCCATTTAAGTATTCCATTGTCAAAAGGTAAAATTACAACAAATTTAAAGACCTTAATTGGTTTTTACATGCAATTCTAGAATCAGGCAACACTCCATTCTATAAAATAGAATGAGTGTTCTGAGGAGGTTGGTTTTATAGACAGAAAAGGATAGAGGAAAGCAGAAGCAGAAAACAAAAAGTGGATCGATCATTGCAAAGTTACTTTTCTTGTAACAGTTAAAGCAGAGGGGACTTCCTTATCATGCCAGCTAGGACTGGTCTGCTTGGGGACTTGGCTATATCTCAGTCCAGATTTCTTGAAAGGCCAGAAAACTTAGTTTTAGTTTGGTGATGTGGAACTTAGCATGATCAACCCCATTTTGGTTTGATCTGTTGGGTCTAGTACAGGAGCTCAGTCCAAAACAATGGTTTTCTATACATTTTACTTACCACCATGGATTATAATATGAAATATTTCCCTCATCATTATTTTTCAGAAAGTCCATTCCCTTTTCAACTAAGAGTTGTTTAGTAGGTTTTAAAATTTACAGATGGAAGAACCTATTTGGTTTTATAGTTTAATTTTAGAATTGTCTTTTTATTGCATTATGATAAGAGCATGTTGTGTGTAATGTTCCTACTTTAAGAACACAATGATTTTTTTGTGTGTGCCTTAGTATAATCAACTTTTGTACATTTTCAATGTGTGCTCAAGAAGAATGTTTCTATTACCAAGGTTGGTGTATATCCAAAATAACTACATTATTGATTATGCTCTTTAATCTGTTGTCCTCTTGGCCTGTTTTTTAGTCAGAATGGTATATTAATTAATATTATACCATTATTAATCTTGTATTATTAATTTGTTTCTATGTCTTTTTGCATCTCCTTTAGTTTCTGACTTAGGTGGTAGCTTAATTGTTTCATAGTTATTCATAACTTACATCTTCATTGTGAAATGTGGCCATTTTGGCCTAAATTCTGCCTAATTAGAAATAGTTTCACATAAATTTGCAGTCAGTTTAGTTGTTCACTTAAAATTACGTTAATACAGTATAAAAACAGTGAAACAAATTTGATTTTTCCTATGCCTTACTCTTATTTCCTAAAATCAAAAAAGACTTTTTTATTTACACTCAGTAGTCGCAAAAGATCTACCTGTGGATTCACTGGAAGGAGAAGATTTTGAGAAGGAATTCTCATTTCTGAACAACCTCCTAAGTTCTGGTTCTTCAAGTACTAGTGAATTTACCCAAGAATGCCAGACTGCCTTTTGGAGCCCCAGTGCCAGTCTCACGTCCCAAGAGCCTTCCATGGGGTCTGAGCCCCTTGTTCATTCTTCTCAATTCCTTCCTTCACAACTCTTTGACCTTGGCTTTCATGCGGCTGGAGCGTTCAACAGTAAGTGTCTATGAAACATTTGGACACATGAGCTTTACTTTATGAGCAAAACTGTGTGCTTATTGATGCTAGAATCAACAAGATTGATTTTAATGTCAGCACTGTTAGATAAAATCTGCAGTCCACCAATCAACTGGAAAAACATTAGTCACCTCTGGAATCTGTCAACAGACTGAAGCAAGGGTTGCTTCCCTCCCACCTTCACCAGACCCCATGTTTTCTTCACTGATTTTCCCAGGTGTCTGATTTAAAACACTTGACCTGCTAATTACTCGTACCTAGGGCAGGCAATACTGTTTCTTCCATCAAGTAAAACTTGGTGTGTTCAGAGTTAACAAGACAAAGGAACAGCTCTGGAGGCTGGTTCCAGGACAGCCTTCTGGGCAAGGCAGCAGGAGAGAGTCCACCATCCTGTGTCCAATCCTGCACCTTGGGGGTCACTTTGTTTCCCACATCCATATTGGTTACCAAATCCTGTCAGTTCTGTTTCTGAAACCTGTCTCAAATGTCCCACTACTCTCTGCCTCCACACCAGAGCCATTTAGAGCCTCATTTGGTTTCCTAGGTTACTGTGAGTTTCTAACAGGTCTCCAACCCCCAGTTCACCCTCCACACTTCCTCCACACTTCTCTCTCCAAGCAGCAGATTCTGATGTCAGTACCGGCTTACACTTTTAAAATGAAACACCATAGTTTCCAGGATAAAACCTGCCTATGTTGCATTTCCACCCATAATTCCTATCTCCTCTTAAAGTGAAGAAAGAATACTTGCCATTTTCCGACGTCACACTGAGCGCTCCAGAGCCCTCTGATGCATCTAACTGTGCTTGTGTTGTTGATTCTGCTTATGATGTTCAGTAATGGAGCCTGGACGTGGGCCTGAGTATTAGATCCCAATTCAGCGTTTTTTCCATGATTGTCAGTCCTTGAAGTCTTCCTCAGTGCTGCCAAATGGAAATGGTTTCTCCTTCCTCTGGCCTACCATGGTGCTTTGCTTTATCTATTTTCATGGCTCTAATCCTACTTTATCTTGCCTGACATCCCAGTCTCTCACATCCCAGTAGATTTTAACCCCTGGATGGGGGGGATCCCACACAGCATCTAGCAGTGTCTTAATGCATTGTATTAAATATTGACATACATACTTTATCTGCAAGCATCCCAAGGCATGATGTGTGGAATGAGTCATCTTTGTGCTATCTCTGACAGTAGCATGCAGTTAGCTCAGTTAATAAACTAAATATCAGCCGGGATTACGCCTGTAATCCCAGCACTTTGGGAGGCCAAGGCGGGCGGATCTCGAGGTCAAGAGATCAAGACCATCCTGGCCAACATCGTGAAACCCCATCTCTACTAAAAATGGAAAAATTAGCTGGGTGTGGTGGCGTGCACCTGTAGTCCCAGCTACTTGGGAGACTGAGGCAGGAGAATCGCTTGAACCTAGGAGGCGGAGGTTGCAGTGAGCTGAGATTGCACCACTGCACTCCAGCCTGGAGACAGGGTGAGACTTTGTCTCAAAAAACAAAAAACCTAAATGTCAGTTAAATCACTCAGTAAGAATTTATTGAATAGACTAACGGTAAGAATGGACAATATTATTTGATAAAGAGGCACTCTATCTGGGATAATTCAGGTATTTTGCTACAGTAAAATCTTTAAAAAATATTTATTCTTGTGTGGAATATCAATGGCCCAGTAGCTATAAAGATTTACAAACTGATTCATTCTCCACTATCACCTCCTCCCTCTTCCTCCATAACTTGCCATGTCTCTAGCAGTGCTAAACTTTTAGTTTCTGGCAATGTAATATCAACAATATTTTTTCACCACTCAAAATATGTGCTCTCATCCCTACCTGCAGACAGACAGGATATTCCCATTTAGTAGCTGAAGCATTTGAAACCCACAGTATTTGAGTAACTTGCTCAAGGTCATCAGACAGTTTCAATAGTTAAGGCAGGAGCAAAATCTGCCTCCTGCTTCTTTGTATAGAACTCTACCAGTCTTTCCTTTATATCTACTTCTCTCATGTATGAAGTAGACCAGGAAAGTGAGCTTCCCAGAGAGCTAAAAGATCTGTGTTTGAGGAACCTTATCTACATTGGGCCTCAGATGATCTTTTCTATAAAAGGAAGGGATTAGGCAGGATTATCTAAGTTCCTTTCTAGTGCTGTGCCTTAATCATAGCATAAATGGTTTTTTATGTTGTAGCAAACATTTCTCCATGTTCTCATAGAGTATTCATGACATGTTTTAATTACAAAGAATTGTCATTTTATACACAATAATCTACCTGATTCCTTATTGTTTTTACATGTTCATTAATACAGATAGTACTGCAAAAAAAAATCATGTATGTACTTTTTCCTTCAGCTAAATTATTTCCTTAAGATGAATTTCTGGGAATTGGATCACTGAGTCCAAGGGTATAAACATATTTATAGGTTTAAACATTCCAATTATCAGACCTGTTCCTTTTCTTCTTGACTCTTTAGAACTTCTTCCTATATATTCTGCATTTCAATTATTTTTTTTAAATCCCATATATTTATTTCAAAACCACTTTGAAAAATGTAAAGAAGTCAGATCCAACTCTTTCTGAAACTAAGATGATTAAAATATAAGACTATAGATAAATTTTCAGTGTTTTATACCTCTTATACTATAGAATCTTACCCAGGTACAAAGACTGGAGGACTTAGATATTTTTACCTTTTCTTGTTTTTCTGATGCTACTTCCTATTTGATTAACAATGGACAATTTTTACTTCCTTTCTCTAGGCTGGGTCTCCCAAGAGGAATCAGAGTTTCGTCTTTCTGATAGCCAGCCAGTGCCTTCACAGAGTCCAAAGAAATTAACAAGATGTAAGTTATTTACATATTCTTTACCATTGCTTTAAGAATCAGCTGAATTCAAATAAATTTACAAAAGGATCACATTATATTGTTTTCACCTCACTGTCCAGAAAAATCATTTAATAATGAGTTATTATTCAAATGAAAGCTGTACTGCCTATCCCTCACTGTGAAAAGCATTGAATAGAAATTGTGAGCTTGGGGCCAGGTGCAGTGGTTTATGCCTGTAATCCTAGACTTTAGGGGGCCAAGGTCGGCGGACTGCCTCATGTTAAGAGTTGGAGAACAGCCTGGACAATGTGGTGAAACCCTGTCTCTACTAAAATACAAAAACAAAAAAATTGCCAGTTGCGGCTGCTCACGCCTATAATCCCAACACTTTGGGAGGCTGAGGCAGGTGGATCACTTGAGGTCAGGAGTTTGAGATCAGCCTGGCCAACATGGTGAAACTCCATCTCTACTAAAAATACAAAAATTGGCCAGGCATGGTGGTACGTGCCTGTAATCCGCGCTACTCAGGAAGCTGGGGCAGGAGAATCACTTGAACCTGGGAGGCAGAGGTTACAGTGAGACAAGATTGTGCCACTGCACTCACTCCAGCCTGGGTAACAGAGCAAGACTCTTGGCTCCACCAAAAAAAAAAAAAGGAAAGAAAAAAAATTTGAGCTTTGGAAAGCGTACTACATTTTTTATTCTTAAATTTTGTTAGTTTGTGTTAAGGGTTGTTGGTAATGAATATAAACTTAGGGATACAAGATGCTTTCTGATTACATGATGGCTGTTGACAAAGAATGCATTCAAGCACTTAAGTTGGTTACCATATTAACCATTTTTAAGTGTACAGTTCAGTAGTATTAAGCATGTTCATACTGCTATGAAACATATCTTCAGAACTTTTTCATCTTGTAAATCTGAAACTCTATACCCATTAGACAACTCCATCTCCTAATTCCATAGTAACAACCATTCCACTTTGTCTGAGTTTGATTACTTTAGATAGCTCATACAACTGGAATAATGCAGTATTTGGCTTTTTTGTGACTGGCATATTTCATTTAGCATAATGTCCTCAAGGTTCATCCTGTAGCAAGTGACCAGATTTCCTTCCTTTTTAAGACTGAATAATACTCCATTTGGTAGATATAACACAACTGGTTATCTATTCATCCATGGATCACATTTTTTATAAACAGCCTACTGAGATATAATTCACTCCCTCTACTGGTCTTCAATACTCTGCTGTAAACAAGAGTTCTCTCTTATCCTCATTTATCTATTTATTATCGATATAGATTCATATATTTTTTCTTTTATTTTTTTGGAGACAGTCGCCCAGGCTGGAATGCAGTGGCACGATCTCGGCTTACTGCATCCTCTGCCTCCCAGGTTCAAGCAATTCTCCGGCCTCATGCCTCAACTGCAGGTGTGCACCACCATGCCTGGCTAATTTTTGTATTTTTAGTAGAGATGGGGTTTCACTGTGTTGGCCAGGCTGGTCTCGACCTCCTGACCTCAAGTGATCCACCCATCTCAGCCTCCCAAAGTGTGGGGGTTACAGGCGTGAGTCACTTGACCTGGCTTGATTCTTTGGTTTATAATCACCAGTGGTTTTATAATCACCAGTGGTTTTAAAATATTCTTTGGTTCAGTGGTTTATAATCACCACTGAACTTACTGATCTTGGTGCTCACATTGTTCCTGTGTTGGCCAGTGGGAGCCCTTTCAGGCTGACTTCAGAATCCTTGTCATATCAATATTTTTTAATTTTGAAATAATTTCAAATTTATAGAAAGACTACAGAAGTTAATACAAAATACTACTATACATTCTTCACTTAGGTTTCCAAAATGTTACCATGTTTGCTTTACATTCATATTCTGTCTCTTCCTCACCCCCCCATTATATCATACAAATTGATTCTGAACTGAAATAGTTTAAGTAGCAGACATGATGCCCCTTTGCCACTAACTATTCATTGTCTATTTCCTAAAAACAAGGAAATTCTTTTGCATAATTACAGTACAACAGTCAAAATCAGGAAATTAACGTTTCCATAGGACCATTATCTACTGTAGACCTTTTCGGTTTGTCAATTATCCCACTAAAGTCTCAATTTCATTTTTAGTTTTTCATAGTCTAGGATCCAAGCCAGTATCACACACTGCATTTAATTAAGTCTCTTTAGTCTCTTTTAATCTGGAACAGTTCCTCAATCTTTATGTCTCATGACCTTGACATTTTGCAGTATACAGATCTTTTATTTTGAACATTCCTTGAATTTGGGTTTAGCTGATGTTTTTTTATAATTAGACTGAGGTTATGCACTTTGCCAGTGCCACTGGTGCAGGAATGGTGTTGTGCCTTCTTAGTAAATCCTATCAGGAGGTGCATGTCTATTTTGTTTCACTCCTGGCGATGTTAACCTTGATCACTTGGTTATGGTGGTGTCTGCATGTTTCTCCACTACAAAGTTAGTACTGTGTTTTTCCCTTTGTAATTAGTAAGTATCTTGTGGGAAGTGTTTTGAAATATTGTAAATTGTTTATTTTTACTAAGTTTTGCCCACATTTAGCATTTACTGATAATTCTTGCATGAAACATTTATTACTGTGGTTGCTGCCAAATGGCAATTTTCTATTTTCTAATTCCCTCTGTATTTATGAGTTAGTGTTCTACTGTATGTGAAAGCTTTCCCTTGTTCCCTACTTATTTACTTATTCATTGATATCTACCAGTATGGACTTCTGAAATCTATTTTATTCTTCCCAGTACTTTGAGGTCAGCCAGTAGGGGAATCCCTCAATTCCAAGCAAATCACAGATTTACATTGGCAGGTTCAGAATACAGCCATTCCCCAGGGATTCAGAGTACTTATAATTACACTTTTTAAAAACCAGCTAAAGGCCAGGCATGGCAGCTCATGCCTGTAATCCCAGCACTTTGGGAGGCCAAGGCAGGTGGATTACTATGTCAGGAGTTTGAATAAAAATGCAAATATTAGCCAAATATGGTGCTGCACACCTGTAGTCCCAGCTATTCAGGAAGCTGAGGCAGGCGAATCGCTTGAAATGAGGGGGCAGAGGTTGCAGTGAGCCAAGATCATGCCACTGCACTCCACCTTGGGCAACAGAGTGAGACTCCAGCTCAAAAAAAAAAAAACAGGTAAAACAAGTTGTGCTTAATCATTTAAAAGACACTATAAGTAAATTTCAGAAATGAACACAAAAAAAACAAAGGCAGTATTACCTGTAATTCTTGAGGCTGATTTTTGAAGAGAAATTTAGGGAAAAAAGAAAAGCTCTCACCAAGAAGGTCCAATAAAACTAAACTTAAGAATTCTAATAAAATTGAATTTTTTTTTTTTCTTTTTTGAGACAGAGTCATGCTCTGTCACCCAGGCTGGAGTGCAGTGGCACAATCTAGGTTCACTGCAACCTCCACCTCCCGGATTCATGCAATTGTCCTGCCTCAGCCTCCTAAGTAGCTGGGACTACAGGCACACCATGATACCCAGGAGCAATAATTTTTGTATTTTTTGGTAGAGACGGATATTCACCATGTTGTCCAGGCTGGTCTCAAACTCCTGACCTCAAGTGATCCACCTGCCTTGGCCTCCTGAAGTGCTGGGATTACAGAGGTGAATGACTATGTTAAAATCAAAAATTGTAACAACTTAAATATTTTTTTGGCCAGGCACCTTGATTCATGCATGTAATCCCAGCACTTTGGGAGGCTGAGGCAGGTGAGTCACAAGATAAGGAGTTCGAGACCAGCCTGGCCAAGATGGTGAAACCCCATCTCTACTAAAAATACAAAAATTGGCCGGGCGCGGTGGCTCAAGCCTGTAATCCCAGCACTGTGGGAGGCCGAGGCAGGTGGATCACGAGGTCAAGAGATCCAGACCATCCTGGTCAGCATGGTGAAACCCCGTCTCTACTAAAAATACAAAAAATTAGCTGGGCATGGTGGCACGTGCCTGTAATCCCAGCTACTCAGGAGGCTGAGGCAGGAGAATTGCCTGAACCCAGGAGGCGGAGGTTGCGGTGAGCCGAGATCGCGCCATTGCACTCCAGCCTGGGTAACAAAGAGCGAAACTCCGTCTCAAAAAAAAAAAAAAAAAAAAAAAAAATACAAAAATTACCCGGTACAGTGGCAGGTGTCTACAATCCCAGCTATTCGGGAGGCTGGGGCACTTGAACCGGGGAGGTGGAGGTTGCAGTGACCCAAGATCGAGCTCCAGCCTGGGAGACAGACTCCATCTAAAACACACAAAAAATTATTTCATTAAGAGCCCCACTTCATTAGTCATTAAGGAAGTGCAAATTAAAAGGAAAATGTAATCCAAGACCTACCTACTACAATAGCTAAAATGAAACAGAAAAGAACGTCTGTAATTGACAAAAAGATGTTAAAGAACTAGAATCTCGGAGAGAGATCCAAGATGGCCAATTAGCAGCAGCTCAGGATTATAGCTCCCAGTGAAGGCACAGGGAGTGAGTGGACGCCAGACTTCCAGACGAATTTTTGTTGCCTACGGACCAGGAGATTCCCAGCAGAGGAGCCCCACGGGTTGCCGGCGCAACGCCGCTGTTTTGCCAGCGTCCTGGCATGGCAGTTCTCAGTGCCGAGTATGTGGGATTGGGTGCTCTTTTAGTTGGCGTTTGGAGCTCTGGGAAGGCAGAGTCGCCCATTCAGCTGACTGAAAAGGGGACTGAAGCCGGGAGCCAGACTGGGAGATTCCCAGGCAGAAAAGCGCCATGAATCTCAGAGCCGCTGTTTTAGCTGGTGCGGTCGCTGCACGGGAAGATCCTGGTGCCTTTTTGGTGGGTGACTGGGGTACCTGGGAGAGAATCGACCGTTCAACTAGGAAAAGAAAAAAAGGGGGCTCCGAGGTGGGGAGCCAGGTGATTGGGCTCCGCTGGTCCCACCCCCACAAAAAAACAGCAATTGGAAACGCTCATCGTTGAGAGTTTCACAGCAAGCACAGCTGAACCCGGGAAGGTCCAGCTCTGTTGGGGAGGGGCGTCCGCCGAAGGAAAACAAACAGAAATAACATCACCACCACCAAGCTGGACATCCACTCTTTGAGACCCAATCTGAAAGTCAGCAATTACAAAGATGACAGGTGGATAAATCCACAAAGATGGGAAGAAACCAGTGCAAAAAGGCTGAAAACATCTGAAATCAGAATGCCTCTCCTCCTTCAGGGGATCACAGCTCCTCATCAGCAAGGGAACAAGGCCTGATGGAGAATGAGTATAATGAATTGTCAGAATCAGGCTTCAGAAGGTGGATAATGAGAAACTTCTGTGAGCTAAAAGAACATGTACTAACCCAATGCAAAGAAACTAAGAACCTTGAAAAAAGGTTTGATGAAATGCTAACGAGAATAGACAATTTAGAGAGGAATATAAGTGAATTAATGGAGCTGAAAAACACAACACGAGAACTTCGCGAAGTATGCACACGTTTTAACAGTCAAATTGATCAAGCAGAAGAAAGGATATCAGAGGTTGAAGACCAACTCAATGAAATAAAACGAGAAGACAAGATTAGAGAAAAAAGGGTAAAAAGGAATGAGCAAAGTCTCCAAGAAATGTGGGACTATGTGAAAAGACCTAATCTACGTTTGATAGGTGTACCTGAATGTGATGAAGAGAATCAATCCAAGCTGGAAAATATTCTTCAGGATATTATTCAGGAAAACTTTCCCAACCTAGCAAGGCAGGACAATATTCAACTCCAGCTAATACAGAGAACACCACAAAGATATTCCTCAAGAGCAACTCCAATGCACATAATCGTCAGATTCACCAGGGTTGAAATGAAGGAGAAAATTCTAAGGGCACCAGAGATAAAGGTCAGGTTACCCACAAAGGGAAGCCTATCAGACTCATAATAGATCTCTCAGCAGAAACCCTATAAGCCAGAAGAGAGTTGGGGCCAATATTCAACATCCTTAAAGAAAAGAGCTTTTAACCCAGAATTTCATATCCAGCCAAAATAAGCTTCATAAGCAAAGGAAAAATAAAATCTTTTGTGAACAAGCAAGCACTCAGAGATTTCATCACCACCAGGCCTGCTTTAAAAGAGCTTCTGAAAGAAGCTCTACACATAGAAAGGAACGACCCATATCAGCCATTCCAAAAATATACCAAAAGGCAAAGTGCATCAACATAATAAAGAATTTACATCAACTAATGGGCAAAACAGCCAGCTAGCATCAAATGGCAGTATTAAACTCACATATATTATTATTAATCCTAAATTTAAATCGACTAAATGCCCCAATCAAAAGACACAGACAGGCAAATTGGATAAAAAGCCAAAACCCATCGATATGCTGCATCCATACCCATCTCAAATGCAGGGATACACAAAGATTCAAAACAAAGGGATGGAGGAAGATTTACCAACCAAATGGAGAGCAAAAATAAATAAATTTAAAAAAAGCAGGAGTTGCAATTCTCGCCTCTGATAAAATAGACTTTAAAGCAACAAAGATCAAAAGAGGTAAAGAAGGACATTACATAATGGTAAAAGGATCAATGCAATAAGAAGAGCTAACGATCCTAAATATATACACACCCAATACAGGAGCACCCAGATACATAAGACAAGTTCTTAATGACTTATAAAGAGACTTAGACTCCCACACAATAATAGTGGGCGACTTTAACATCACATTAATATTAGACAGATCAAGACAGAAAATTAACAAGGATATCCAGGACTTGAACTCAGACCCGGAACAAGTAAACTTAATAAACATTTATAGAACTCTCCACCCCAAATCCACAAAACATACATTCTTATCAGTACCACATCACACCTACTCTAAAAGTGACTACATAATTGGAAGTGAATCACTCCTTAGTAATTGCATAGCATTTCACAGGTTTAAATGAAATATTGGTTGGCTGCTTGTTTGTTACTTTCCTCCCTTATTCCTTCCTGTCTGCATTGTTAAGCACAATTATTAGTATAAAAGAGGTTTTCAATACCCATTTTTGGACTGCATTCTAGCCTGGGCAATAAAGCAAGACTCCCGTTCTCCCTCTTTCTCTTCCTCTTTCTTTCTCTCTTCATTCTTTTTTTTCTCTTTTTTCCCTAAAAAAAAAAACAAACAAAAAAAAAAAACAAAAGAAGAACTAGAATCTCAAAAACTGCTTCTAAGAGTCTAAATAGGTAATAGCCATTTGGAAAACTGGCAGTTTCTACTCAACTGGAACATACATACACCCTGTGACCAAACAATTCCACTTCTAAGTACATATCCAACAGAAACACATCTATCCATTAACTAAAATATATGCTAACAAACGTTACTGTGATACTGTTAATAATACACCAGAATGGGACTTACCCCAGCATTCCCTGGGGTTGGGGGTGTGAATAGTGACTGGAAGGGTGTCAATCAAGGGTGCCATGCATGAGGGGAGCTTCGGAGGAGTGGGCACATTCTATTTCTTTTTCTTTTTTTGAGATAGTGCCTCACTCTGTTACCCAGGGTGGAGTTCAGTGGCACAATCTTGGTACACTGCAACCTTTGCCTCCCTGGTTCAAGCAATTCTCTTGCCTCAGTCTCCTGAGTAGCTGGGATTACAGGTGTGCACCACCACGCCCAGTTGTTTTTTTTTGTTTTTTGTTTTTTTTTTTTTTTTGTGTGTGTGTGTGTGTGTGTTTTAGTACAGATGGGGTTTCACCATTTTGGCCAGGCTGGTCTCAAACTCCTGACCTCAGGTGATCCGCCAGCCTTGGCCTCCCAAAGTGGTTAAATTACCAGCATGAGCCACCAACCCAGCCACATTCTATTTCTTGATGTTGATATTGTTTATGAGTGTATTTACTCTATGAAAATTATGCTTAATTTGGGTTTTTTCTCTCTGCATAGAATTCATTTTCTGCTTGTTACAAGAATCTCTGGAGGCAGGAATAGTGTACACAACGAGAGCCCCTATAAAAGATGTAACTGACAGACCTTTATTTCCCATTGTGACCAATGAATATAAAACTGTCTTACATATGCATGATGCTGTACAATATTTATATACTTTTCAGGACTCTTCAACAGCTGTATGAAGGAGGTCAGATATTATCTTAGTGACATCTATTCTTCTGGTATAATGACTAATGGTGACTCTGTTTACCCTCAAGCATCCTGATTTAATGATGAATTGTATGGTTACTACATTACAGATGAGGAGACAAGAGCCCTGAGGTTAAATTACTTGCTCAGTATTTCTCATTTAGTAGGTGTACACCCAGGACTCAAAGCCATATTTTGTGCGGGTATCACTGATTCTACCTCAGGGTACTCAGAAACAGAACTGGACCCACACTGAGTGAAGCCTTTCACTCTGCCCTGATCCTTGGGGCTTTGGGTCCCCACATCCCAAACCCCAGCCCTCTGGTCTGTGGTGAGTGTTACCACGATGTGTGAAAGAGGACTGCCCGTGGGACTGCATTCCACCCTCCACACTGTCACTCTGGATTCATGTCCAGTTCTTAGATTGTCCTCTGGGTCTCCACCCTGCTTTCTAGACTCCTTGGCTTCCAAGGTCCTAGACTTCTGAGATGACCCACTGTCTGTGCCACTATGCATTCTTGTTTAGTCCCAGCCCTCTGACCAAATAGACATTCTTGAATATCTGCCACAATGCAAATTTTAGAATCTAGAGAAATAAAATTTTCCATCTCCTTAAGGAGGTATGAGGGATGTGATGAACAAGCTGTACCTGAGATACAATGCATACTGTAAAAGGCGTATATCAAAACATTTTAAAGTGCACATGGAAAAGACAAAACAACTGTAAACCAAAATGACAATGTTGGCTGTGCTAATGTGGTAAGATTAGGCAGACCTTGTTCCTTATGTCTAGTATGTTTGTAATACCACTTTTATAATAAACATAAATCAACTTGGAGCAGTGTTTACAAATGTCATTTCTTACTTGATATGAACAAGTTTACTTTTAATTTTAAATCTCATCTGAGTCTTCTATAAGTGAACTTAAATGTTCTATAAAGACTATAGTATTGCTTGCCTTTTCACTTTTAATTCAATTCCTTTCTCAGAGCAGCATACAATTATTTAAATATAGGAGGCTCAGCAAAGCACAAGTTATCTGCATTTGCCTTTCAAAATTATCCTAAATCAGAAACAGTGGTTCACGCCTATAATCCCAGTGTTCTCAGAGGCTGAGGTGGGAGAATCACTTGAGCCCAGGAGTTCCAGACAAGTCTGGGCAACATAGGGAGACCCCAGTTTCTACGAGGGGAAAAAAAAGTCTTAAAGGAACTATAATTGATAGATTATTATTATTTTTGAGGACGGAAGCTGGAGTGCAGTGGCGTGATCTCTGCTCACTGCCAGGTTCAAGTGATTCTCCTGCCTCAGCCTCCCCAGTAGCTGGGACTAGGGGCATGCACCACCACGCCCAGCTAATTTTTGTATTTTTAGTAGAGACCGGATTTCGCCATGTTGGCCAAGCTGATCTTGACCTTTTGACTTCGTGATTTGCCTGCCTCGCCCTCCCAAAGTGCTGGGATTACTGGCGTGAGCCACCACACCTGGCCCAGTTTTCTTAATTCAAAAGAAGCACCTAATTCAAAATCATAAATGTGGTACAAAAACATGATTTCAAAACTGAAACTCTTTAATGTGTTTTTTTTCTTTTTTAATAGCCACCAACAATGGTAACCAAGACATGTCAGCCTGGTTCAATCTATTTGCAGACTTGGATCCACTTTCAAACCCAGATGCTATTGGACATTCAGATGATGAACTTCTTAATGCTTGACTGAAGTTATAATGTCACTTCAACGGCCTTGAGATATCAATTTTGCAACATATTTCCTTTGTGGAAAGGAGTTTATATTGTAACCCACACACAAAAACATGGTGTTTCTGAATATAACACCTGTCAGCCAACTTTAGACAGATGGCAAAGACCACATTTGAATAGGTTAAGTACATCTTTCATATCTTGGATTTGCAGCTGTTAGTACTATGTGGAAAATATTAGAAACTATGGAGTCTGCAATATTTAGATACTGGAATTTATGTCAAAATAACGGCTAGGAATAATTGTCAATATGGAGTTGAGTTTATTTCTTTGGAAACCCTTTTATCTTTAAGTTGCCTTGCTGGCTGTGAGATAAAAATTTTATATGTGGATAAAAAAGATAGCATGTAAATTGGGTAGTAGTTTGGGGTCAGTTTTTGAATGACATAGTGGCAGGGAGTATTTTCTGTTTTAGAAAATAGCATTAGAACCAGATCAGCTTTGTTTTGGGTTAGAGAGGTAAAATAAGATTTGAGAACTCAGTTTGCTTTAATGAAATCACAAAGAAAATTTGCTACTTGTTTTTTTTCATTTGGAGGCTAAAATGTAATGTTTTTTTATTAACACAAAATAATGGACACTTCCTACATTATTAAATCTTCAAGGGGAAGTAGCAGGGTAATTAATTTGCTAAGCCCATTCTCTGTAGAAACAGAAAAATCTATCTTCCCGTCTCCTAAACCTCAGAATGCATAGTAATACTTAAGACTTGGGCAAGTATCTTCAGACCCACTCTTTCATACACTTGCTATATATTATTATGCTATTATGCAGTATTTATATTATTCCTGAAAATAAAATGGGGGGGGGGGAGAATATTCCCTAAGCAACTGTCAGTAGTAGTCCTGAAATACCTCAAAATTTCTATCTGAATGAGGGAGACACTTATGAACATCTTATCCTTACATATATTTGTATATTTTGTGACATAATTTAACCCAGAATACTTTGTGGCAGAGATACAGAAAGCTCTGTGTGATCAATAAGGGAGTGTCTCATTTTTCTACTTCCCTCTTTCTGTGGGTGACATCATCTGAGGCTCTATTTGATTATTAAGCAAAATCTGTTACCCCTACAGGGTTTAGAACCTAAGTATTAGAGGGGAAGTCTATTTAATGGAAGTTAGTGTAAGCTGATAAAAACAGAGCTACTGTACACACATGTCAATCACTCAATTTCCTGTCCTTTTTCTTAGCCACCCTTTAATTTTGAAGCAGTTTCCCAAGTGTTTTATTTTTGTCATCCAGTCCGTTGCATTTCCATAAGATGACGTTTTGGGCCGGGCGTGGTGGCTCAAGCCTGTAATCCCAGCACTGTGGGAGGCCGAGGCAGGTGGATCACGAGGTCAAGAGATCCAGACCATCCTGGTCAGCATGGTGAAACCCCATCTCTACTAAAAATACAAAAAATTAGCTGGGCATGGTGGCACGTGCCTGTAATCCCAGCTACTCAGGAGGCTGAGGCAGGAGAATTGCCTGAACCCGGGAGGCGGAGGTTGCGGTGAGCCGAGATCGCGCCATGGCACTCCAGCCTGGGTAACAAGAGCGAAACTCCGTCTCAAAAAAAAAAAAAAAAAAAAAAAAGATGACGTTTTGACTAAATTATTCACCGTGGTTTCCATGTGCTCTTAGTCCTATTCTAAACATGCTTACTTAGAAGATAATTGCTTGTGATGTTCAAGTCATAGTATGTATAAAACATTGGACCAGAGTAGGTAAAACACAGTCCACCTCCCATTCACAGTCATCTACAATAGTAACTTCCCACAAGCTCTAAATGGCCAAGGACTGTATAGGCTGGAACAACCTTATCTGAGGGTCAGAAACATCAACTCAGAAAAAAGATATGAAGTCTTTTCTTAAAATCTTTTCACAATATTATTCCTATTTCTTTGATTTTAATGAGTCATTATTTATCTCTTCAGAAGCACTGTCTTCCTTTATAATCAGTTAAATTTCCCAGAATGCAATACTGTCACTGTTCTGCCAAGTTCCAATAGAAAGATCATGATTATGAATCCCAATCTGAATTCTATACCCATGGTGACTCTGGTGCTCTCAACTTTTGAGTGCCTCAAAAAATGCTAACTTTATGTCTTGCGAGTTTGTACCATTTTTCTTTGCAGTGGTCGCCGTGCTAATGCATTAGTTCTGAGATATTCGTTTATCTCCCTCACATGCATGCAAGGCGGTCCCTATTCTCTGATACAGACAGACGCTTCAATGAGCAGGAAAAGCAGAAGCCCAAAGTCCATACTAGGAACACCCTGTTTTCCAAAAGCAGAGTTTCTCCCCAAGTGGAGACTTACAAGGGACTTTTATTATTCAGTTACTAGTTTCTGTAACATTTCTTCTTTTAACAGAGTATATGTTTTCCATTTAACCCAGAGCAACATTAAGTTCCTTAGCAAGTCGTTATAGCTTCCAACAAGTCGGCTGGGTGTGGTGGCTCATGCCTGTAATCCAAGCACTTTGGAGGCCAAGGCGGGCGGATCACCTGAGGTCGGGAGTTCAAGACCTGCCTGACCAACATGATGAAACCCTGTCTTAAAAAGAAAAAAAATTTTAAAAACAAAAAAAAAAACTTCCAACAAGTCTAACCACTATTTTTAAAGAGCATATCAATAACTTTAAGATAAAGGTAACCATATTCATATTTTCTCAAGATTAGTTATTTGAAGCTCAGCAATTTTGTGGTCAGAAAGAGAAATTTTGCTCTATTAAACCAACATTACTAATATAAAAAACCACCACACTGAAGAAAGGAGGGAAAGGATGGATAAGCACAGAATACAGAATGACTGGTTGCTTTTTGTTTCAATCTAGATAATCCATTCAATAAGAAGTAAATTAATTATCCTTAACCAATGGCAGGCTGAGAACAACCCTCAAAATAGGTATTTTAAATGGGCAGAAATATCTGTACTTACTTAATACTGGATAAGAATGTGTTTGAGTTTAAAAAACACTGGATGAGCTAAACTTTGCCTAATGTATCTACAACCGTGTTTTGGGAGAGGCAGGAATACCAGGGCATAACAAGATCAGATTGGTGTAATTTTGTATTTTTTTGAAATCCTTCATTAAATTGTAGAACATCAATATGATTAGAAACAAACTGTATTTAAATGAAACAGGTTTCAGTATTTGCACATTGAAAAAGTGTTTTGTATGTCAACTATAAATATTTCATGTATCTGTATGGACCATCTAGAAATGTAGAGGTCTTACAGCATTAGAATGAAGGAAGTTTAAATGTGCTCCTTCTATTTTTCTGAGCCTCTTTTAATAAAGATTGCAAGATGGCATAAAACAAGTTTGTTTCCTGAAGAGTTTAATACAAATATAATTATTGTTTTCCTATTCAAAAACTTGAGTTTTACCTCAAGATCACAATATTAGGAAACTACATTGAATTGATGATATGGTGGGCATGGGAAAATGAAAAAAACTAGGGCAATTAATATCCTTGTTAGGCCAGGTGTGGTGGCTCACACCTGTAATCCCAGCACTTTGGGAGGCCAAGGAGGGCATATCACTTGAAGTCAGGAGTTTGAGACCACCCTGACCAACATAGAGAAACCCTGTCTGTACTAAAAATATAAAAATTAGCTGCGTGTGGTGATGGTTGCCTGTAATATGAGCTACTTGGGAGGCTGAGGCAGGAGAATCACTTGAACCCAGGAGGTAGAGGTTACAGTGAGCCAAGATCAGGCCACTGCATTCCAGCCTGCATGACAGAGTGAGATTCTTGTCTTCAAAAAAAAAAAAAAAAATCCTTGTGAGACTAATTCCTTCTAATTTATTTCACATAGAACGGGACTATGTAAGATATGGGAAATTACATAATGTATGTTATTTCTATAAGTACTTTCAGTAACAAAAACTATCAAATATCAAAAATCTGAGCCTAGACATAAACAATTAAATATAAGCCACAGTATGTAATCTTACTTATTGAAGGCAAGAATAAAAAGAGCCAGAATTGATTCAGTTATTTTTGTCTTCCATAGTGTTGGCAGGGCCCTGCATTTCTCCACCTTGAGCAATGAAGCAGTCCCAGAATTTCAGAATATAGAAATTAGGAAGGAAAAATCACCTTTAAAATATTAATTCAACAGAACTGAAAGCAACAGTAAAGTGTTTAAACATGGCAAACCCTGTGGGACAAGATGAGAAGAAAAATGGTTGGTTAGGATGGTCACATCCAGAAGACCAACATAAACTATTTTTCCATCTTTTCTGTACCATTTAAAAGACTACTGAAGAGTTCAAAACAAACTGTCCTTGGCATTTAAAGTCAAGCCATGGTTCTTCACTCAATGGTGTAAATCAACCACTATTGACCAAAGAGTAAATACAAAAAGGAGATGAAGTTCTGACTGGTGTCATGGGTGAGATTTTGCAGTGTATGTTTTTAGATTTGTACTGTACGTTTTAAACTTCTTGTTTTCTTGCTGCCTCAACAACTACTCCACAAACAAACTGTGAGCACTTGGCCCAGTGTGATGTGGGTGGCCCCTGCCACAAGTCTCTCTTGCTACTTTGCCCTCACCATGACCTAGTAACATTTAAATACACCAGTGAAATTCTCACCTTTTCTTGTGTGCTTCTCCCTAATCTGAAGGCTCCTGCTCATGTCTTAGGCCTACTCTGCTCCCCACCTGCTTGGCTGAGCCCTGCCCAGGTGACCCCCTCTCAGCATGCAGTGACCATCTCTCTAGGACCTGTAAGTATAATACAACTTGTTTTCCTGTGTCTCTCCTGTGATATCTCTTGTGGCTACACCTCACTGACAATCACCTAAAAAAAAAAAAAAATCACACAAAAAAACATGAAAAAGTTGTTTCTTTTTTCCCCATTTTAAAGCAGTATCTTCTAGAAGAAAAAAATCAGCCATAGCACATCTAGAAATATCCACTATTAACATACTTTTGCTTATTTTTTTGTAGTGCCTTCAAGCACACACTTGAATTGTGATCCAGATGATTTTACTGTCCTCTCTCTCTAAAATGGGCATACCAAGTCAGAGATTTAAAAACCAACTCTCTAAGTGTTTCTCTCAAAAAGGCCAGGTGAATTAAAAAATCCACCAGAAATGTGACTGAAGTTAGTTTTTGCCTCCCTAAAAGATGTGCTCCCCCAATTTTTTTTGTGCTCCTCAAATTAAAGAAAGTATTTCTTTTTATTTTCTGCAGCTATAGCAACATTAAAAATCTGAGAGTTTAACAATGTCTGTCGCTAACATCCTTGGTTAGGAGCTGAATAACTAACCAGCTCCTTTCTTTTGACCCTCTGAACTAAGCTGTCAGCAGCTGTAGCAATGAAGAGGATCACAAAGAACAACAAGGCAATGTGGCCCAATGTCACATCTGCAATGACACCAACATCTTTATCAGTGTCACCGGTGCAAGCAAAGTAGCAGTAAGACTTCATAATTAACTCTGAATTCCAGAGTCAGACTTGGTTCAAAGCCAGTCTCTGACATCTCCCAGATGTATGACCATGGAAAAGTTAACCTAATTCCAATTTTGTTATCTCTATGATAGTAAAAATAACAGTACCTGGCTTCAAAGGGTTATTATAAAGATTAGAGTAAAAGTAATATGTAAAGTGTCTGACATTTGGTAAGCTATCAATAGGCATTATCAATTTTTATTACAATTTCAGTTTATCTTTGATAATTTTAAACTTTACAAGCTAAAATGAATTTTATGAGAACACTTTCCAGAACCAAAACCACTGGCTCTCCTACAGAATGAATAAACTACCTGACAAAATATGAAGGAAGATAAATGTTTGCTTACAGTTTTATATTTTCATATTTCCTAAGTGATAGCACTATTGTCAGCATTTCTTTAATCACTCAAATAAAACAGGTTAACAAAAGTGATTTCTTGGCCCAAGATCCCATGAACATTAGGCCCAAAGATCGAAAAAGAATTACTTTACAGAATTGAGATAAATAGTTATACTCCTGCTTTTTAACTATCAGAGACTTCCTTCCTGATAGTCTTCTATAAAACAATGATTTAGCAGGACTAATCCAAACTAGTGCATAAAGTCAAAGTTAGAATATATGGAGATACATTCTCAGTTTGAGGATGATAGAAATTGATGAAAGTATTCTGGTTTTTTTGGTTTGTTTTTATAAAACCTAGAAATTTTGGAGCTATGTATTAAAGGGCAGTAGAAACAATGTCTTGAAGACTCCAGTCTCATCTCTGCATTAAGATACCAAACAGGCCAGGCAAGGTGGCTCACACC